TTCTAATCTACCACTATTGCTTAGAAGTCCAGGGTTGTGTTTGTTAAATTTTGCATTGTTTATGCCTGTCTGGTTTTCACCAGACAAAATATTGACGTGGAATATTCTTTCGACCGTTATTGGTAACTCTTTTCAAAACACCACCGGGTAACATATTCGGCCGCCATATTTTGGGCATCGTTTTTAGTGCGAGAGTTGTGACTAGAATCAATTTCATATTCAGTATTGACGTAGCATTCGTGTCTAATACATTTAGACTCGCATCCGCGACAAACAATGACGTAGCTCTCTTGCTCCCTAGACACTTGGCCAAAATAAGGCAGCCTCGAAGACTAGCGGCACTATGGGTTGCACTTTTAAAAAGGCTGCATTCAAGTTTCTATTATTTTCTAAATCTACCAAGGAAATCCATTGCGAACGTTTCCTGAGGAAATTTAAACAATTCAAAAGTTGCGAGCGAGTGTGAATAAATAAAGCTGAGATTAATGGTTTCTTTGGTGCAGCTTGCGAGCGCTATGTTCGTGGTCAGCTTTCAGTGGCATTTTCGACAGGAGGGCGCATGCACAGATATAATCGGCGTTCAAGCACGCGCACCCGTACATCTGACAGCATAGCCATAGGACGTCCACAAAAACGCGACGACTTTACCGACGCCGTGCTGGTTGCAATGTGATACTCGTTCACTTCGTTTGATTATGCTGTTTTGTGTTACATAGAACTCAAATCGGATGGTTTACTTTTTACGCGCGGGGCGTACGCTTTACTTTTTGATTCGACCTCTTTCAAGCTGAGGTCACGGTCAAAAACATCGACGCGTATTGAGTAAGTGCAGCCATCTTGAGATCTAAGCGATCACGCTAGGGACGCTGAGGGCAGTCCGCTCTACAACTTGTGAAGCGGAGCGCACGCTCACTCCGCTAACTATACGCTCCAACTCAGAGCGGGCCACGCATGCGCGGTGGGGACGATGCTTCTCGCAGAGCGTAAAGTAGAGCAAAGAGGGTTAATAAAAGTGGCCTACTAATACTCACAGATTACGAACGCGCTCGTCGTGACTTGTCCTGACACTGCCCATGTACACCTTTTCACCAGACAGAGCAGCTGTACTGGAAACAATGAAAATGCGAAATTTACACAAACCATGCAGGGTCTCACCTGTGAGCACAGCTCCAGTTTCGCCAGGGTCAACCACCTATGTTTGTTCATGTCAGCGAGCAGGTGGCCGAACCTCTCGTTGATGTGACCCATGATGAGGTTCACAAACTGAAGAACACCGACAAGTTCCGTCCAAACGCTCATCCAAGTACGAACAGACGGTTGGGATAGGCCAGTCGAGGAAGAACCATGCAAAGCGTCTCGCCAGATTGGCAACACCCTGCGCCGATCTGTCGGGTGCTGGTATTTGGAGGCCCGCATGCAGAGCAGCCTGGTCCTTCTTTAAGCAGGATAGCTTCCTAAAGGGTTTCTTTTCTACGTTGGAAATATCCAGCAAACCGCGTTCCGAAAGGAAGCTTCGGCGCTTGAGGGCACGAGAGATACGAATCATAGATTCGATGTCTCGCCAGCTTAATCTCGTTAGTAGAAGTCTCCTTCCTTGAGAACAGCGGGGATTTATCGTGCAGATGTCTTGCTAGCCTTGAGCAACAATGTGCTCGTACTACGCAAAAGGATGTGCTCGCAATGCGCAAACTTCGTCCTTTTCTTTTATTTTTCTACTTCGAATAAGTAAATCTGTTTCACTTTTAATTCGAGTCAAGCAGAAGCTACAAGAGCGAATGCTGGCCTTTCAGCGTCCTTGATAAGCACGCGCGCTCGTGCAGTCCAAGTACCGTTTAGAGCAACATGCTCATGCTTGTACCTTCGGCTTCACTCGCACACAAGGTGGAACGATTATATTTATATTTTATGGCATAATATTTCTTCAGGTTTGTGCCTACTCTTTTGTGTTCATTATTGTCGCCTTCGTTTTTACTACCTCTACAAACAAGCTCCCTTTCACTGTCTTGGTGTTAACGTTTAGGTTTTTTTGTCTTACTAGTACTATAAACGTCCACTTGTGGGGCTACGCAAGCAAATTTTTCGAACCCGCTCAAAACGCTTTTACGCTGAAGAAAAACGCTCTACTAAAACGCGTTTTTGGACCTCCGCTTTCCATTCCGGCGAAGCAGGCCGCGCATGCGCAGTTTGGCACCCCCAGAGCGGAGCGGAAAATGAAAACGGTATACTAAAACTCTCTAATGGTATGTCTTGCATTCGGTGTTCATCAAAGATCAACCGGACTCGGGGCGATGCAGTGTCGATGTGACAACAATACCCTCTTGATTTTCGTTTCCTGCTCGCAACTCAATTCTGGTCCAAACTTAAATTGTTCTTACGGTAAAGAATTATCTTGACTGTAAAAATGGCCTTTGTTATCTGACCCTAGAGAAATACTCGCAAGTATTGAGATCTTGTCCTTCGCCAACGGTTGGAGTACACCAACCTGTTTCCCTAGATTGAGAGTGATGTCATTGGTACCTAGATTAACGACAAGAGCGACGAATTCTCCGTTGGTACAAGCCACGAGTGTCCGAGGCGCAGCTAGTTCCTTACCTGGTTTAGCACAGAGCCACAAGTCGAAAACAGCTTCACCGTAAACCTTTTTGATGTTTACAGTCAGGCGTATCACTGAAGCAGTCTCAACAGGTATTGTAGCGGAGTCGTTAACGCATACGTTTAAGTCATCTGATAGCTGTACTTGAGCACATATGATGTTGGTATATTGGGAGAAAAACTTTAGAAATATGTGCCACTTTTCCACGGCGACGAGAGAAAATGTGCAAGCGAGGTACACAAGCCATACAAAAATACTTTCGCATTGTGAAATGCTGGCGTCTAATGTTTCCACGGGTGAATGCGGAGTTTTGGTGGCATTGTTCTGTTCGGGGTTCAACATAAAAAATCCGTTTTTCTGGCACCACTCATAACCCAGAATGATTGGAGAGACGGAATTCGACAGAATTACGAAGTCCACTAACGCCGTCTCATCGAGCGCAGTGACCAGTAACTTCACTTGTCCACCGGTGTAAGCTTTGCCGCCGTTTGCTGTGAAAAGTTGTGGAGCAATCCGGGAAACATTGCAATCAGCTGGTACAAGCGTCGCATCGATTATGTTAACTACTGCGCCAGTATCGAGGAGGCTTTCTTGGATCCGAACTCCTTGAATCTCCACTTGGGTAGTTGGAAGACCAGTAAAACTCCTTGGAAGAGAGACGAGGTGGACTTGGTCTTCTATACCCGATCCCGCCCCTGTGAACCGGAATAGCCGTTTCCCGACGCGCCGTAACACTCTGCAGCCATGTGTCCTTGTCGTCCGTTTTGAAAGCAGCGCCTCTTGGTGTTAACTCGTTGGTGACCTTCAGGTTGCTAACGTGCTCCAGGCGTCTCCAGATGAGTAGTTGGCTGTAGCTATGCCGGGCAAGAAGCCTGGGTGTTTGCTATTGCCTTTTGGATGGCTGAGGTCTCGTACGTCTTAGCCAAAGCCTCTCGAACAGTCTTTGGCCCTGCAAGTCGAACAAATTTTTGAACTTCAGTGTCCGTAATGACGTCGACAAAGTCAGTCGTGCTTAGAAGGTGAAAAATGTCGGCGGAAACTCCCACAAAGGATTTTCGCGCTAGACACTCAATTTCCGTTGCCAGGACTTTCCCCCGGCTGTTGTCGACGGCAACGTAACTCGCCATAGCGGATGTGTTGTAGATGTTTGTCCCCAAAGCGGTCTTCAAGTGCCGCTACCAACGTTTGGTAGGTGAGCTCTTCCTTGAAGTTGGGCCAATATCGCGATGGCTGGTCCCAGTAGTTGTGCCGCAAGAGCGTGAGTTGTTTCATCTTCGGACCATTGGTTTGCTTGAGCAACAATGTTAGCTTGCTCGAGGTAAAGGTCAAGTGGCACGCTACCATCGAAAGGCTTCAGTTTCAAACGAATGGGATTCAAGGTGGCCGAAGATGTGCGTACCGTTGCTGAGTCGGTCCGATTCTCCGAGTCTCTCCTTTCCTCTAGCGCTATGATTCTTTGTCGAAGGTCTTCTTGCGCAGACGTAACACGTTTCAGCTGCGCCTGGACCACAGCCGCCACCGTTGATTCGAAGCTGTGACTCTGCTCCGCGAACAGACCCCTCAGTTTGACGTAGGTAACTGGACCTTCAGCGTTGCTGGCGTCCTCGGGAGAAGGGGAAGGTTCGCCAGACCGGATTTGTTGTCGTGTGAAGGGCATTTTTTTTACGCAAATCCCACTTCTGACACCAAAATGTTACAGATTACATTTTTTGTTGCTGCCACTTCGGCCTTCTCCCGTCTACCCACCCTCTTTTTCTTCATTCTCGTCCCGCTCGTTGCACCTCAAAGTCCTACTGTCACAAGATATATATATATATATATATATATATATATATATATATATATATATATATATATATATATATATATATATATATATATATATATATATATATATATGGAGCACAACCAACTTTAGCTTTTTTTCTGTGCGATGCGTACTTTTCGCAGGAACGGTTTAGCCTGCGTTGAGAGACACACCGTTCGACTTCCGAAAAGTCCACTCTACACTTTTCAAGCACCACAGGGGTCCTATGCTACACGGCTGGACCAAGTGAAACCAAGGGACCGAGAAAACGTCGTGTGCTGCGATTGCTCAATGCTGTGCCACTGACCAATCGCAGCAGACAGCGCTGTCCCGGTCCCTTGATCCCGCTTAATCTCGCCTAGTAGATAGGGCCCCATGCAGGGTTCTTGAAGGTTTGGTGAAGCCATTCATACAAAAGACAGAATCGAGCTACTACCACTTTAACGTCGCGAAAACCTGAGAACGACGAATGTTTTGCCCTTGTATGTTTTGAGACAATATCTGATATTCGGAATGTTGATGCCTCTGGGTTGCTTGTATTAGTATTTATTATATTACCGTTTTAAATTACACCGTGTATTCGTTTTGTTTCCTTCGCAGGACCTGCACGTCTACGGCAATAACATATCGGACGTAACCACGATATTTACTCGTGGTATCAACCCTGAAATTGTTCGAATTGAAAGAAACCCGATAACCGAGTTGCCAAAACGTCTAGTATGGTCAAACATGAAGGAGTTCCATGCACAACAATGTCACATATCTATAGTAAACCCTGGAGCATTCCAAATGCTCAGTCAATTAAGACTCCTCGATTTGTCAGAAAATCAAATATCTGATCTGAACAACACCGTCTTTTCGCAAAGTTCTAAGCTCGCTACATTCAGTGCCGCCTCTAATTTAATCAAAAACGTCGATAACATATTCAACAAAACGCGCTGGCTGCAGGTCATAAATTTGGATAGCAATTTCATTGAAGATATAACAAATGCATTCACAGGGTTATTTTTGCTGAACAGATTGAGGCTGAAACAAAATGAGATCAGTTTTATTCGCGATAAAACGTTCAATTCCAATAAGGATCTTAAGTACTTAGACCTAAGTCAGAACGAAATTGAATGGCTGGGGACAAACTGCTTCAAGGGTCTGGTCAGGCTAGATCATTTGGACCTCGGCAAAAACAAACTCCTGGTAATGAATGGGTCTACAAGCAATTTGCCAAGACTAACCTATTTAGTTTTGGATGACAACACCTTGCATGTACTGGAAGAGAAAGACTTTTTTAACGACCTGCGACTACGCTTTGTTAACGCTTCCCGGAACAACATCACGAGCGTCGAGGGAGCCTTCAGAACCTTGGATACGGTGCGAACAGTCAGCCTCCTGAGCAACCGACTAACTGCAGTGCACAGAAAGAGCTTTCCAGACTCAGTGAGCAAAGAGATGAAAATATCTCTAGAAGGTAGGCACCTTTTACGGGGTAAGAGGGAGATCAACCAGCGTTCGGTGTAGTGAATATTGCTCTTTTTTTTCATGTTCACGCAGGCAACCCGATCTTCTGCGACTGCCAGATATTATGGCTTCTGGTGAGTACGGTTCACACGACAAAAAGCAATGAATCAGTCTGCAACGGTCCTGCGTGGTTACAAGGACGCTCTCTGTACAACTTGACTACGGATGAAGTTACCACGTGGTATGCAGACTGCGACGAACGGTGCACCTGTGAGTGCCACTCAGATGACTACGGCAGAGAAATTCACGTGAACTGTTCCAATAGAAGATTACACGATATACCGCAGTCGTTCCCCGCAGACACCACGAAGATATATCTTGGAGGGAATCAACTTGAATACTTGAGCGATACTCTCGTGAAGAAGACCCCCAAACTTCGTTTTCTGGACCTTAACACAAACCTATTTTCGAACATCAAGCCTTCTGAGATACCTAACCATGTTCAAGTGCTCAATATAAAAGGAAACAAGCTCAGCAGTTTTCCATTGGACCTTGTTTCTAGTTTCAACCTGTCTAGTATTCAGCTGACTGATAATCCCTGGAGATGCGATTGTGAAGATTACCCCTTCAGTCAATGGGCAGCAGCTTTCGATGGGACGGTAAGTGTTACTTTTTTTCCCGCTGCAACATGAGTAAGTTGAAAAGAGTGCGAGTCATTTCAACCAATCATGGAATGCCATATTGCTATGCTTCTTTTAAAATATGCTCGTATGCGTGCATGCTCCCATTATGCCCAACTGTGACGCTGTTACGCGTGCAGAATGCTGACATTGCAGAGTATCGATTAAATTAAAATCCTAAGTCGAATGATAGGTGGAGCAAAGAGTCCTTTAAGCCGGGGTCACACTGCTCATACATCATACAAAAGACAGCCTGCCAACGCGAGTCACCGCAATATCCACGGTTCGAATGTGCGCGTGCCAGGTTTCTCCTTGAACACATTGCCATGTGGCATTCGAAGCACGGATCTCGCGGTGACTTGCGTTCGAATGTGTATGCAGATTGTCCTTTGTGCAAAGCAGTGTGGCCCAGGCTTTAGGGATCAGTGTTTCCGGGCTCTATACTAACATACAGTTTAGAAACAAGCGCACGTTTTCCCACACCAGGTGTTGGCAGGGCGCGTGCGCGCAAACCAGAATCGCGCGAGGGGAAGCGTCTGCGCATTGCTCAGTGCCGACAGCTGCGCCCTCGCAGGGGCGTGACGTCAGAGATTATTTGGTCTATAAAATTTTTTCACAACTTTTGTGCAACCGAAAACAGTGCCGACTTTCCAGTCTATAAAATCTGCACGTATACTTTTCTTTCTAGCGAACGCGAAACTATATTACGGCAATCTTCATTCGAAAATATCATTGACGCTAGTGAGAATCTAAGATTTAATTATTTAAAAGAAGTTGAAAATAATAAACGTATCGATGATAGGCGAATATATTTCTAATGGTAATTTCTAATAGACCGATCTCACCAGCCAGTTTGACTACGCCACCGCTGCCGCAATGCATCGAGGAAACTTAAGTCTTTCTGCGTGTGCGACGACCTGGCTGGAGCTCTGCGCGTGCAGGGCACGAACAGTCTCGTGCACTGCCGATTGCCGGCTGTGAACTAAAGTCATGGCTGCCTCGCGCATGCGTCGAATGCTTGGTGAGATCGGTCTATTGTTGCTTTGGCACGGAGAAGAGTAAGGCGATGCGCCAAGGAACTTAAGCGCGAAACACATGTACGACGAAAACCTTCCGATACGACGTGCGGACTGCCGGAATGACCTTGGGGGGAGAGGGTTTTCGTAGCATCGGAGAGCGTTGAAAACCCTCGCCTCCGACCGTCGTATTGCGCGGTCGGACGTCGGATCGGACGGTTTCGTCGTACATGTGTTTCGCGCTTTAAGCGCGAAACACATGTACGACGAAACCGTCCGATCCGACGTGCGGACTGCCGCAATGACCTTGGGGGGAGAGTTTTTTCGTAGCATCGGAGAGCGTTGAAAACCCTCGCCTCCGACCGTCGTATTGCGCGGTCGGACGTCGGATCGGACAGTTTCGTCGTACATGTGTTTCGCGCTTTACAGAGGAGGGACGCGAGCCCGCGAGCCCAACACGCGAGCCGGACGGTCGCAACGTTGTAGGCGGGGAGGGCTGACGTGATAGCGCCATTTTGAGAGCGAGAGAGAAAAGGAGAAAGGGCTACCGGCGCTTTCACCCTCGCTGGGTCGTTAGAAAGAGTGAAAGTCCCGAATGAGAGGCTTCGTAAGTGTTGGGTGTATGCAGTGCCCGAACTTCGTTCGTGCTTTCTTCTCTGTTTTAAACTCACAAACTTAATTAGAGCCACGGGCTTCGATCGCGACAGTCTCCCAGTCAGCGGGACACCATTGCTCGGTGATAGGGTGCACGAATGACGACAGAAAGCGTCGAATACTGCCGAGGACCTATGTAGCTTGCATGGAATCCGGCAAGGCGAGTGAGGCTGCAATATTTTTAAGCTCCATCGCTTTCGCATGTCTTGAACTCATGAACTATTTACTAATTTTTGCTTGCAATGGACCTCTTTCAACGTAGCCGTTTTTAGTAATCAACAAGCGATACACGACACGGGAACCTCAATTAACTTTTGTAAACACCCGGAGCTGCCACCGATCGTTTTGCTGCTCTGCTTTTATCTTGCATGTCCATGTTCTTATATTTCCTTGTGGATGAACGACGAAGACGTTCTATATGTACTTATATCGAACCGCAGAAAGCCTCAAAGCAGCCACGTATTATTTTACTATTTGATGCAATATTTGTAGTACTCAGCTCCAATTTCTATCGCTGGCGCGTTCGCTGCCGCTGTTGACTCGAACAAAGAAACGTGGACACTGAGCTCGAAAACGCAGATCGCAACACACGAGACGCACCCCGTAGCGAATATCCAGCGCTTCAAAGCGCCCAATCAACGGAAACAAGCCACCAGCGGCACTCCAAGGAGCGCTTTTGCCGGCTCTCTGGTATCGCGCAGGAGATCGCGATTCAGGAAAACCGATAGAACAAACTTTTCAACTATTTCCAGCCACACCCGGCGGCGGAAATGAGCCTTCAACTATGTGTTGTAGATGATAAAATCAAGTCAATATCATCCCTGCAAAATATCAATAATAAGATAAATTCAGTTACAAAATTTTACAAGCTGAAACAGAAATTATCACGAGAAAACTCGCACGTACCTTGCGAGTGTACCCCATGTTCATCGGCGGCACAGCATTCGGTGCGTGCTCCATTCACAAAATGTTCCCAGCACAGTCGAGAGGATGGCGTTGAGGAAACGTATTTTCAGTTTACGGACGCAATCCACTGCCACCGGAGACCGGGGTTTTAAGCGGTACTTTGCGCAACCCACTGCCACGGAGACCGGGGTTTTAAGCGGTACTTTGCGCAAATACCGCTTAAAACGGATCTCTGACGTTAAGACCCATGAAACACGCGTTTTTTTTTTTTCACCCCACGCACTAGAAGTTCCAGAAAAAAATTAAACAAAAAAGTGAAAGCCGTTTACAACTCCCTGTAACGCCGAATTGGAGCGCAGCTCTTGAGGAGGAGGAGGAGGGAAGGGTACTGAGAAGAGGGTAGGCTCCTCCTCCCTCTCCTTCTCCTCGTTCCCTCATTCTTCAATATCCTCCGAGGGGGGGGGGGGGGGTCACGTGACCCTGGGGTGAGGGGTCGCGTGAACCTGGGGGGTCACGTGACCTCGGGGGTCACGTGACCTCGGGCGGTCACGTGACCTGGGGGTCACGTTACTTTGGGGGGTTACGTGACCTCGGGGGGTCCCGTGACCTTGCGGTTACGCCGACGGCGACGGCGACGCCGCTCAAGCCGGAAACGGGCCCCTAAGAGCTGCGCTCTAAAACGAGCACCGTTCACCCCCTCAACTCACAGCCAGAACAAGCGGCCACGTGATCTGGAGCCGATTATACACCAACTCAACACTCCTACGTCACGCCGCGGTGGTGGCGCGCCGGACGCACTTCCGGTCTGGGGCGGTGGGCAGAAGTCGCCGTGCCAGACATGCATTCCTGTGGTCCCTGGGAAGAAACGAGACAAAAAACCTGCCTTCTCGTCAAAATGCTGCGATGGGGGCTTTACCAAGAGAGTCTGGAAAGGTTTGAAGATCAGTTTTCATGTGTTTTTGCCCTTTCCGTTCGTCCGAGAACGTGGATAGTAGCCGTGAAAAGGGCAAACCAGACGCTGTCGAACTACGATTGCGTGTGCGGGCCACAATTTGTGCTCACCAGATGTGTTTGCTTTGTTCCAACATGAACGAGAGAAAACCCCCAAGTTGTCCGGACCACCCACGGATTCAGTGCGTCTTCAAATTCACACGGCCGCCTGATCGTTCGAACTTTCGTCTGCTCTTTCAAAGTTGTCTGCTTTTTGTCGTCTGCTCGTTCAAACAAAAGCGGCCCGTAGGCCAAACTTTGACCCGGTGATTGCAATAAGAAGTAATTGCAGGCCTCAAAATACTTAAGTAGGCTCGGTGTAAACAGTAGATACAAGATGTTAATTATTGGTACCGGTGGCCATCACCCACTTGTTACGCTTGGTCTGTTCCCACTTCCGATTTTCAGTATCGACGTCGATCATCGCCGCTACCTTTTACACTTTTGCGGCACGAGCGACGTCGCGACCGAAAATAGCTACAAGAATCTCATCATGGTTTTGGCGTCCATCCTGCAGCGTTCATGCGAATGAATCGCCGCACGTCAAATTATTTACGGAAAGTTTAGCGGCGTAACGAGCCTTGATAATTTCGCTCAGGCGATTGAAGTGGTAAGACATTGCGATGAGGACGTAGAATCGACAACTCCAACGCGAAAAAGAGTATGCAGACTCACACAGACGCCGACAACGTGACATTCGAATGGTCTGTTGACGCGGGACGCGGTGCTTCTTGCCCGTACTCCATTGCGCGTGCGTTCGAACTGTCGTCTGCTCTTTCAAACTTGGCTGCTTTTTGTCGTCAGTTCGTTCAAACAACAGCGGCCCGTAAACCAAACGTGGGCCCGGTACTTGCGATAAGAACTAAGTGCAGGCCTCAAAACACTTTTGAAGGTTGGTTGGGGTAAGTCGGCTAAGTGTAAACAGATACAAGAAGTTGTTGATCATTGTTACCAGTGGCCATCACCGACTTGTAATGCCCGATTCTACTTGCGGTTTTCAGTATCGATGTCCACCATCTCAGCTACGGACCACGCTTTTGCAGTCCCAGCGACGTCGCGACTGTAAATAGCGAGCAGAATCTCATCGTGGGAGTCAGGCTTTAGCGCCCATTCTGCGGCGTCCACGTGAAATGAATCGCCGCATGTCAGATTATTCACGCAAAGTTTTGCCTCGATAGTTTTGCTGAAGCCGCTCAAGTAGTCAGACATTGTTAGGAGGACGTAGAATCAACAATTCCAACGCGAAAAAGAGCACGGGGACTCCCACCGACGCCGACAACAACGCAATTCAATGGTTTGTTTATGGGCGACGGCGGGCTTCTTGCCCACCATCCACCGCGCATGCGCGGCGCCGGTGGCGTCCGCTAGGGGCGCTCCGGTTTGTTTGTAAACATGAGTTGGTGTATATGCCGC